CGCGCCCACCCCGCCCCGACCGCTGTATTTCAACAGGGCGCCAGAATCGCGCCCCGTGCCCCGTGCCCCACCGCGACCAGCCCAGCTTTTATTCGCCCACCAGCCAGTGCGTTTTTTCCACCCGACCTGCTTACTTGTCACTTCGGCTGGGCACCAGCACTGTACATTCTTTTGTGCCCCCGTGGCCAGGCCAGCTCCTCTTTGCCGGCCAACCAGCGCGTTCTTTCCGCCCCGGCCGTCTTGTTTCGTCGTCGCCGCGCCCTCCCATCTCCCGCATAACCAGCCAAGCTCATCTTCGCCCACCAGCCAGCGCGCTACCTCCGCCCGAACCCTTTACTTCGGCCAGGCACCAGCACCGCGCCCCGACCCTTGTGTTGTGAAGGCCTTACGGCCGGTGCCGCCGACCCTGAAGACAACGACGAGGACGAGGACGAGGATGAGGAGGAGGAGGAGGAGGAAAAGCAGGAGGAGCAGCAGGAGGAGGAGGAGGAAGAGGGATAATGATGAGAAGGAGGAGGAGGAAAAGGAGGAGGAGGAGGAGGAGGAGGAGGAGGAGCAGGAACAGGGAAAGGAGGAGGTTGCGGAGGAGGATGAGGGAGGTGAGCAGGGGCAGGGGGTTGACGGGAAGGGGGAATGAGCAGGGAGGACTAGGGGAGGAAAAGGTCCAGGTACGGTTGTTGAGCACTGGCGAAGACCACGCGGGGGTTGGGGGGGGAGCGTGATGAGGAGGATGATCAGGAGGATGGGGATGAGGAGGAGGAGGATGCGAAGGAGGGGGATGAGGAGGAGTGAAAGGGTGAGGAGAGGGAGGTGGAGGAGGAGGAGGAGGAGGAGGAGGAGGACAAGGAGGAGGAGGAGGAGGAGCAAGAGGAGAAAGAGGAGGAGGAGGAGGACGAGGAGGAAAAGCAGGAGGAACAGGATGAGGAGGAGGACGAGGAGGAAAAGCATGGGGATGAAGAGGAGGAGGAGGAGGAGGAGGAGGAGGAGGAGGAGGAGGAGGAGGAGGAGGAGGGGGGGCGGGGACAGGAGGAGGAGGTCGAGGAGGGCAATGAGCAGTGGAGGACGATGAAGACGAGGCGGAGGAACATGAGGAGGAGGAGGTGGAGGAGAAGGAGCACGCACAGTCTATAATTATTTTCCTTTACTGCCATACCATGTGCCTATGGTGATAGGCCAGCCTGCACAGGACAGCCTACATGATCCACAGTCGTAGTAGTAATGTATGCCTGGCTCACACAACTTCGTGCGCTTATCTGCAGGCCAGCCTGCACAGGCATTCTCTGCAGCATACTCAACCAACTTTGTCACCTCTCCTCACATGTCTGTTCTCGTACTCTTGACATGCATACGGTGTCAGTGGCCCCATCCACTTAGGAACCGAAGAGCGGGCATAGTGTTGGCAAAGAGGGAACATTGTACACTACGAGCCTACAATGGCATATCCTGCACCGCTTCTTTTGCTTAGATGATGATGCCAGCCATACTATTGTTACAGGGCTTATGGCGGAAGATATTTGCATACAGTCTAGGTTTTTTATATTCCACAACCATGAGCACGTGAGCAATCTACCCACGTGCCCGTCGTGGAGTAATTGCTGCATACCCCTTGCAGCAACACTTGCTTTGCTAACCGAGTAGATTGCCACAGCATGGCCATGCAGCCTATGCAACGGAATGGACTGGAGGGAAGTTTACACTAGTGATGGAGGAGGGAGAGCATACCTCTGGCAGTAACCAAACGCCACTTTTTTATACACCCAGCTTCTGTCATGTGGCATCGAACGTGCAACTGTACCTGAGGCAGTCAGTACCAGGAAATCTCGGGCTGGGGGTATGTATGACTGGGTTGTGGGCGGCGAGCACTTATCACGGTACTACAGTTGCCCCCTTTAACAACCAAAGAGGTAGTACCAATTGAACCGATGGGGCGCTTTCTATTATACCGAGTGTTTTTTTCAATAAGGTTTGTGCCGTCTTCTCGCACTTGGCGGGCGCCTACTCGCCTGACTACTATTTTTCTGGACTCGTTTTCCCACGTTGCCCGCGGCGCCCGCCAGTTTTTTTTTGTTGAGTCGAGTCGCGTAGTATACTTCATTCAAGAACGCCAGCGGTACTACCTTAGGCTGGTTCAACGTAAAAGGAGGAGGATGAGGGGGAGGAGGAGAAGGAGGAGTAGGAGGAAAGTGAGGAGCAGGGTGGGGATGGGAATGCTTGCCGGGGTTTCTTCGGAACGCTTTCGGGGGCCTTTGGTGGGCACTTGGGGTGCGTTTGGGGAGACTGGGGGCGGCCTCTTGGGAACCTCTAGGGGGCCTCCAGAGGTTTCCTTTTTTTGGGGGGGGGGGACGTCTTGAAGGCCTCGTGGGGCCTCCTCGAAGCGTCTCGGGGGCGAGTGCTCGAGATGTCCGTTCGGGTCCTCCGTCTAGGCATCCCCTTGGAGCCGGCTCGGGTGCCTCTTGGCCTGTCTTGGAGGCGTCTCGGGCCTTGGGGTCCTCTTGGCCCATGCTGGACCTCTTAGAGGACGTTGGGCCGTCTTGGGGCGATCTTGGGGGCTTTTTGGGCCTTCTCGGAACGTCGGGAAGCGGAAGAGGCGAGACCGCCAAAATTTTCAGAAATTTCTAGGGGATTGATGATGTTTGCCTCTTGGGGCCGTCTGGGAAGTGCTTCTGGAGGCCTCTTGGGGCGTCTTGCAGGCTTCATGGGCCGTCTGCAGGCCGTGACGGCGTCTCGGACAGATCATTCGGCGATCCGGGGCCCTCTTGGACCGTCTTGGGGGCCTCTTCGGACACTCTTGGCCCGTCCTGGGGCTTTCTTGGGACCAGCACCCCCTGGGGGAGTCGCATCTGGGTGGCGACCCCCCCGACCCTTTGATTTCGTCGGCGCCGCGTCCTCCCCCGCCCCCACAGCCAGCCAAGCTCGTCCTCGCCCGCCAGCCAGCGCGCTCCCTCCGCCCCGACCCTTCTAGCTCGGCACGGCACTGGCGCCGCGCCCCTGCCTCCCCTCACGGCCATCCCAGTTCCACCCCGCCCGCCAGACAGCACGCCCCCTGCGCCCCGACCTGGTCATTCCGGCACGGCACCAGCGCCGCGCCCCCCCCTCCCCCCAGAGCCAATCCAGCCCCCCGCCCGCCAGCCAGCGCGCACCCCCCGCCCCGACCTTTTGATCTCAGCACTGTCGGCCTTGCGGATCAGCCCCCTGGGTGCCGCCGTGGCCCCCGGTTGTCTCGGCCGCCAGTCCCGAGTCATCAGATTGCCCGCCCTGCAGGCCCATGTTCGCCGTCTTCGCCTCTGTGACTGCTTCTGCTCCCTCCTTATTTTCCCTCCTCGTCCACTTACCCAGTTCCCTGCTCCTGGCGCTCCCCTGAACTTCTCGTCCTCCCTCCCCCATACTCTCTCCTCGTCATCCGTCTCCCGTGTCCTCCTTTTTCTCCGTCGCCATGTGTGTTCCCGTTTTTTAAGCCCCTAACTAACCATGAACCTCGGAGAATAACCCCCCAGGGATAGTAAAGTTCGGGGTTTTCGGGGAGATAATAAAAGTTGCCCGCCAGAGCCAGCTTAAAGAAAAAGATATCAAGAGGAAAAAGCTAAAGATATCTTGAGGATTGTCTCGGTTGAGGCATCCTCAACGAATTGCTTGTTTCGCTTGAGACATCCTCGAAATATTTGTCTGTTTCGCTTGAGACATCTTCAAAGTATTGCTTATTTCGCTTGAGACATCCTTGAGGGAGGAGGAGGAGAAAGAGCAAGAGGAGGAGAGGAGAAGGAGATAGCAAAAATCCAAAGTTAAAAACTTATTATATTTAATTTGTAAACGCTTGATGAACATTGAAATTTTAATCTGCTCGTGTAGGGTAGCTCACGCGCCTCGTTTTCCCGGGATAATCAACCCCAGCGATAAACAAGTTCAGGGCGCCAGAGGGAGGAGGAGGAGAAAGAGATAGAGAGACAGAGAGAGAGAGAGAGAGACAGAGAAAGAAAGAAAGAGAGACAGAAAGACCTACAAAGAGACAGAAGGAAATCGGTGTTGCTTGAGACATCCTGAAACAACGTGTTCGCTTCGCTTGATGTTATTATCTCAACATAAGAAGGAAGTAACCTCGATTGCGAACTTTTCCCGTCGTAATGCATTTCGGCCTCCGCGCCCCCGCGCCCCCGACCAAACTCTTATTGGTCGACGATAAAAAACTCTAACTACTTAAGGGGGGGTACATTATTATCGTGGGCATGGGGTTATCCTCCCTCTCTTCCTCCTCCTCCTCCTCCTCCTCCTCCTCCTCCTCCTCCTCCTCTTTCTCAACCTTCCTCTCCCGTCCCCCACCTCCTCCCCCCCATCCCTATTTGCAAGAGCCATGGCACGCATGCCACTTGTAAGAAGCTGCCTGCCCATAACCCCCCCCCCACTGGAACATCCAGTTTCGGGATGGTTTGGGATATCCTAAAATTGGCAGTTGCGTGGTGCAGTGTCTCCGAATGTCTCTGGCCCAGACGTGCCAGTGGCTGCGACAGAAGTGTTGTCCCTGCTGAAGAAGAGATGGTGTTTTAGTGGTTTTGCAACGGTTTGAGCTGAATCGAGTTTGTAGTGATGTCCAGTCGTGTGAATCGCCCAGCAAACTTACGGTACAACATCTGTCTAAGCAGGGTTGCTCCGTAAACGTGTGTGCTCATGAGGAGGTTTTCGTTTTGCCCCCCCCCCCCACCAACACTTGGTGAGGAGCTCTCTTTAAAATTGTAGCTGTCTCTTGTAGTTTCTCTGCCTGTCTCTGGCCCAGACGGGCCAATGGCTCCGACAGAAGTACTGCCTCTTTTGAAGAAGAGATGGTGGCCAGTTTTGCACCGGGAATCGTTTTCGGACGGGGCCCTGTCCCGGAGGCTGGGAATTGCGAGGAGTCGTCCATCTTGCGTTGTTGTCAAGACCCGAGGGGGTTTGCAGAGTCTCCCCGCCCTTGGATTATCGTTGTCGTCGTCGTCGTCGTCGTCGTCGTCGCCCGAACAGCGAACGCGGAGGACGAGGTGAGGGTCCTCAGCCGCTTCCGACATCCCAACCTGGTGACTCTGCTAGGCAGGGCGGGGCCCGCAAGCGCAGGGTGGGCGGGTTCATGCGTTTGGCGGCGCCCGTTCTGCTCCCTGGTGGCGCATCCTTTGAGATTCGAACGCTCGTCCAGGGTCCGACTCTCGGCCCCCGAGCCCAGACCTCGGCATCGCTCGGACGTGTGCATGTGTTTCGGAGGGGACCATCGAGGAGCATCTGAGACCGTATTGCGAGATATCTGTATACGTCTATATATATATATGTACATATATATGTATGTATTATACAAAAACAAGCGGAACCAGGAAATGCACGGGGAATGCACGTCCGAGCGATGGCAAGAGACACCTTTGCGTCGTGGAAGGCTCTAGTACGGAAGGTTTTTGGCTGCTTTCGATTGCTGGAGGCTTTAGTACGGGCCAGGGGACCGTCGACGAATACTGGGCCCGAGGCAGGGATTGAGGCCTCTGGGAGTCCACGCTGCGAGAAAATCACAATGTGGGGTATCAGGATCTTCCGCTTTTCTTGTGCATGTCTCCTTGCCTCTAAATCTTCCAGGACGGTCTTGTCCCCCGCCTGCGATTCGGCCGCGCCTGGGCCGCAGCCTGTTGACGAAGGCTTTCATGGGTTGAGTTGGCCCCGCCGCCCGGTCCCCCCCCCTCCGCGTCCGCCATGCTCACCTTCCCCCCCCTCGGGCCGAACGAAAGGGGGGGGGGGATAATTAGGGAAATGGGGGGTTACGAAATCTGCTGCATGCAGCTGGTTTCGGCCCCGCCGCCAGGCCCATTCCTCGATAATTACATCGGCGCCTCCTGGCGCAGGGAGGCGCTGGAAAAGTCAGCTGCGTGAGATGATTCTTTACCCTGCCCTCTGCTACCCCCCCCCCTTTCGTTCCCCCCGACCCTCGCAGATAGCTGCTTAGGTGCAATCTCTCAATGCCGCTTCTCCTGCGCGGCATGCACTTTTCCCCTGCTGAGCCGATGTGTCGTGCGACATGGCTTGCGAACGAACGAACGACCCTCGCTCGCCACCGACCTGTGGGGCCCCCCCGACCCAGGGGGCGGGGGGGCATGCCGAGGCTGCGCCGCGGTGCCGCCTCGTGGGCGCCCCGCGGGCGCCCCCGTGATCTCAGCTTGCACGGCGCAGCTCTCGCCACCATGGCTCACACCACAGGGCTTGCACAGCAGAGCTTGCCTCGCGTAGCTTGCGATGCATAGGTTTCAGGAGGGAGGAACCACGCAGACGCAATGAATCGTCGACTCCCAGGAAATAATGTGAGAACATATGGGAAATTGGGGGGAAGACGAAAATCCAGAAAATACGGGGAAATATGGGGGATCCTGGGATTTGTGTCTATTGATTTTGAGTGTTCTTGGGCCCCTTGAAGGTTTCACCTCAAGCTCACACCGGATAGCTTACGCAGCAGAACTTACGTCGCAGAGCTTGCACCGCATAGTTTTCACCTCCATAACTCGCACCATTGCTTACACGACAGATCTGCCACCACATAGCTTACACCGTATAGCTGCCACCTCCACAGCGCAATAACGCACAGTTTGGAGTCCACGCTTGCTAGCATATGTAATTTCATATGGGAAATTGCCCACATCGGCTCCGGAGACGGGGAAGACTGTTTTCGGAGGGCGCTGGTGAGTAGGGGGTCGGCTTTAGACATCAACGCGTAATCCTTACCAAACAGAAGGAGGGCATTCAAACACGCCCACTCCGTGTTGGCACAGTGGCGGATATAAGTGGGCGGAGCCAAGTTAGCCCAGATCTTTGCCCCCCCCCAGGCCCCCCAGGTCACTCGAGGCACTTCTGATCCACACAAGCTGGGTTCGGTGAAAAGCTGAACCAGGAAGTCCAGCCGCGAACCGGGAAATTCGATCCCGAACGGGGGAAGTTTTTTTGTTGAACGGGGAAGTTGCCCGGGCGAGCGGGGAAATTCTCCGGGAGCTCCGAGGACATGTTTCAGTTGAGTGGATTTTTTTCTGGTTTAACGAGGACATTAATTCTCTTGCCCGAGCGAGGACTATTCTTTTCGAATTTGGTGCCTCGTGGACGTATTCCGTTGCTCGCTGCGTTGTGCTTTTCGCCGCAGGGCTTTATTTCGTGATCTCGACTTCCAATGTTTGCAGGTCCACGGGTTCCTTTGGGGGTCGGGGCGCACACATTACATCGGATGCCGTCGCGTTGGGGTTTTCTCGGGTACGCGCTTCATCAGGCGCGTTCGGTTTCACTTGCCCTGTGCTGGAATGCTCCTCACGGCGTTCGGCTCCTCGGCCGTCCGCAGCAGAAACCTGCTACAGTAGGGTGGGCGGGTTCTGTGCTCTCTGCCTTCTCATGTCCTGGTGTTTGGTGCTCTCCTGTGCATCTCCTTCTTATCACGCCGTTTTCTGTGCGTAGAGTTGGATTTTTGTTCGCGTGTTCTTGAGTTGTCGCGATCGCAGCTGATTCCGTTCTTTTGGGCGGTCGGGGGAGGGGTCACTCCGGTCGGGGGGGGTCTCACTCTTGCTTTCGTCGCGTGTTCGTTCGCTGCAGGCGGCGCCACGTCGGGTTGTCTCAGAGGCTCCTTGGGTTTCTTGGCATTTCCCGTGCGTTCTCTTCCACGATCGATTTGTGTGTGTGTGTTTGTGTGTATGTGTGTGTGTGTGTTTGTGCGCACGCGTGTGAGTGTGTACGTGTGTGTGTGTATGTGTTTAGACATCGCCGGAGTAGTCCCTCTGCCCAGCCGCCGACGCAAAACAGTGTGTGTGTGTGTTTGTGTGTGTTTGTGTGTGTGTGTGTTTGTGTGCGTATGTGCGTGTGTGTATGTGTATATGTGTGTGTGTGTGTGTGTGTGTGTGTGTGTGTGTGTGTGTCAGGCGCGGTTCGCAGCGCCTGCCCCTAAGTCGGTCCTTGGCCTCCTTGTCGTCCAGTCTGCTATCTCGTTCCCCGGCCTTCAGTCCTGGTTGGCTTATGTCACCCTCCACTCACCGTCGCTCGTATATCCACCGTTCCCCCCGCCATCCACGCCCAGATGGTTATGTCGGCTGGCTAATGCGTGGCACTAAGTGGTCACTGAGAGCTTGGGCGGTTAGTCGCGTGCTGTCGCTGTTTTCGACCTTCTACGCATGACGCTTCGCGCGAGGCCCCAACGCCAACAGAAAGTGTGTCAGGCGCGGTTGCGGGCGTGAGCTGTTTGATGCTGGCTGCCCTAGACATGGAAGCCGCTGGAGATCACGGGCGGGTGCATTCGGCTTGATTTGTCTATCTTAGGGCAGCGGCCTGGTTCGGTATGACCTGGAACTCGCTTATGCGCCCGCGTGGCCGTTTCGTGGGCAAGTTTCGTAAAAGTGGGGTTCGTGGTGTTTGCGGATCTTCCGGTGGATATTCGCAGCCTTGCTGGAATGGATGTAGTGGCGGGCAGGGGGAAGAGGGCGAGAAGGAGGAGGAGGGAGTGGAAGGGGAAGGGAAGAAGAGGAGGAGGAGGAGGAGGAGGAGGGCGTGTGTCTGCTGGCTGATTCTGTCGGCCTGGCGTTGCTCTTGGATGCCGGAGGAGGAATGATTTAGTGTTGCGTTCGCCCGATCAACGGTACCGCCCAAACGAGGCTCGGCGTGGCTTCGTTTAGGGCAGTAGCCGCTTGGTGCTCCAAGCGGCGGGCGGGCGGGCGCGCCGGCGCGCGCGCGAGCTGGCGTGCGGGCGGGCGGGCGGTTAGGTGAACGGGCGATAGCGCGGGCGGGCGAGCACGCGGGCGCGGGCGCGGGCGCGGGCGGGCAGGCGGGCGGGAGACGGGGCTGGCGGGGGGCGCTTCAGCGGTCGCGCGGGCAAGCGGGCGGGCGGGCGGGCGCGCCGGCGGGCGGTTGCGCGAGCGACCGGTCGCGCTGGTGGGCGCGCGCGCGCGCGGGCGGACGAACGGGCGGGCGTGCGGGCGCGCGGACGGGCGCGCGGGCGGGCGGGCGGGCGGGCGCACGGGCAGGCGGTTGCGCGGGCGGGCGTGCGGGCGGGCGAGCGGGCGGGCGGGCCGGGTGGCGAGCGCGCAAGTTGGCGGGCGGGCGGGAGCCCGCCCTGGCATCCCAGAGCAAGGACGCGGAGTGCAGGACCAGGAGGGTCCCAGACCGCCGTGCGGGTCCAGGCTCGGGGCGGGCCCGCAATGAGGGGTTCCCGACCTGGGGGGGGGTCCAAGGGTGCGGGACCGGGGGATCAAGACGCCCCCCGCCGGTCGAGGAAGAAAGGGAAGGAGGAAGGATCTGTGTTTGGTTGGCTCCGTGTTTCGACTGCGTGTGGGGCTCCGTGTTGGGCTCCGCGCCAGGCTCGATGTTGGGATTTCTGGTCTGCGTGTTGAGCAGCGGGCTGAGCTGGCTAACACTCTTCTGTCCACGCTGGCCAACACTCTTATCTTCCACGCTGGATAAACACTCCTGCGTCCACGCTGAACATTCTTTACGTGTTGAGCATGGATTTCTTATGTTCCATTCTGGCTAACGCTCTTGTGACTTGCTTTAGCAACTACCTTCCGCAGTGCAGGTGCCCTGGGGCGACGTCCCTCCAGTGAGCCGATTCTGTGGGCCTCCCGAGCGCCCCCCCCCCCCCCCCCCTCGCATGCGGCGCGCCTCGCGTCGCCACCGCTGTCGCCAAGAGACTTTGGCAGGGGGCTCTGTTTGAGCGTGCACGCTCGCTTCTGGGAGGCGGAGGAGGACGCAGGCGGCAGGAGGAAGGACGAGGAGTGCGTAGAAGCACAGGGAGAGGCTCACGAGGAGGGGGGGCGGAGGCGAAGTTTTCCGCTACGTCGGACCGAGGTACGATATCGAGGTCGGTTCGGGGAGGGTGCACTCGTGTTCTTCGTGCTTGTTGGATGTTCTTGCGCATCCAGGGGAGGGTACACTTGGATGTTCAGTGATCTTTTTCGGGCAGAAGCTCCCATGTTTTTGGGATGATGGTATTCCATCCTTGTTTCGGCTGTACCCTGGAAGAGCAATGCAATTCCCGCTCGCGATCCGTCTCCACGCGCCCCTCACGTTCAACGTTCACGCGGGGCGCTGCGCGATTCGACTTCTCTCTCGTCGGCCGCGGCAGACTCAGTATGGAGATCGGGGCCAAGGGGGGGGGGGGGAAATGGACAAATACTTGTATCACTCTTTTATGGGGGTGGTTGTAGGTAGAGGAGGAGGAGGAGGAGGAGGAGGAGGAGGAGGAGAAGGAGGAGGAGGAGGAAGTTTCCTATCTAGGTCCGCGCAACGTCAAACAATGGAAGAGGAGGAGGAGGAGGAAGGACGAGGAGGAGAAGGAGGAGGGAGGAGGAGGAGGAGGAGGAGGAGGAAGTGGCTGACGTCCTCCCAGCTCCTGCCGCTCCCAGGCTGGGGCCAGAGCAGCACCGAGAAGTTCCTCGTCTACGAGCTGCTCACCGGCGGGGACGTTGGTGCGCGCCTGGCCAAGTGCCGCGACCGCGGGGAGCCGTTCGAGCACTCAGCCTGCCCCACCTCGCGATCCCCGATCGCATCCACGCACTGGCCGCCGACCGCCTGAACATTGATCGCTCGACCCGCGCCAGCCTGACTCCGGATCCGCCGTACTTTGGCTCATGTTCCAATGTAGAGTTGTATTGGAAATGTATCCCAAGCGATGCGACAAAGTAAAGCGGACATTGCCGCTGCAGAAATGTAGGACGGTCTCGCAAAGGTGTGGCGGGAATAGCGACGACAAAGTAGAGCGGGCATCGACAGCAAAGGAGCCTGTAAAGCAGGGCGGGAATTCCCGCCCTATTTGCGAAATCGCCTCACGCACTGCGAATCTAGAGTCATGACAGTGGAGACGTAACTTCTATGCATCTGGCCGACTCCGCACACCTTGGGCCAGAAAACCTTGCCATATCTTGAGGCGCATCCTTTTCTTCTGCTGTTTGATTTCCGCTGGCGGACCCGCCGCCGTTTTGCTTTCGCCGATCTTCCGCAGCCTTCTGCCGATGAAAGGATGCAAACTTCTTCGATCCTCGAAGGCCAGGCCCTGTCTGGAACGTACTCCATATCCCATAGATATACATGCCTATTCCCCAGGCGTTTCTTGCACTTAGGGGTTCTTGCTTCTGTTCTACGGAACTGGGCCTGACGGCCCGTCTGACGGCTACGTAGTCGCCGTCACGCCGTCGCCGCTCACCCCGTCGCCGCCCGTCGTCTGGGCCTGACGGCCGGTCTGATGGCCATGTAGTCGACAGCGCCGCCCCGTCGCCGCCTCGTCGCCGTCGTCGCCTGGGCCTGTTTGCCGGTCTGGCGGCTGTCTTGTCACCGTCGCCGCCCCGTCGTTGCCGTCGCCGCTCGTCGCCGCCGTTACATTCATTCTCCGTGCCAAGAGAATAATAGAATCTTGCCCCTTCCCCGCCTTGACTTAACGGGCCCCCTTCGCGCACTGCAATGTAATTATGGTCCTGCCCCTCGTCCATCCTAAGTATAAGCGCGTATCATTCCAGCCAAACTGGTAATCCCCCCCTGCGTCCGCTGCTCGAAAAATTGTGCGCGCACATTTGCTTATCAAACATCAGCAGTTTTCCAGAATACCTTGCAACAAAAACGACGAAGTGCACACGCGCGCGTCGTCGCGCGCGCATACCAGAATCCCTCAACAAATTTTGGATTCGTAAGAATGTCACAATCGAGTGTCCCGAAAACGTGTAAACCACGCGTTGCTTCTCAACATGGGTTTTCAACAAAACAGCCTGCGCGTGCTCTTGCGAATTTTAAGTAAAAACATAGCGTGCTCAACATGTTCATGACATGCTACCAAAAGAGCCTCTCGCGCGCGCGTGCCGGAATCGCAAGAACGCTCTTGCGCGCGTGCTGTCGCAATAGTGGCTTGCAACAAACGGGACGAAGTGCACGCGCGCGTCGTCGCGCACGCACGCCGGAATCCTTCACAAATCTGAGGCTTCGCATGGATTTCAAAATCGAGTGCCCCGAACACGCAAAACACATGGTTTTGCCGCATCATTTTTCAAAACAAAAAAAAACTGCGCTCGCGCTCTTGCGAATTCCTACGCATACCAGAAGTTTTTCAACATTGTCAGTAAATTCGGCCAACCTCTCGCGCCGCATGCCGAAACCATCCGAACGTCCTTGCGCGCGTGCTGGGTGGGGTGGGGGGGGCACGATGCGTGTCAAATCACACCATTTGGGCCACTCTCGCGCGTCGGCCGCGCGCGCATGTCGAACTCCTTCCAAAACCTTCATCACCGACGCGAGGACGCCGTCATCGTCGCCGGCGTGATCAGCATCGGCGCCGTCACTGGCCGTGCCGTCGTCTTTGTCATCATCACCACCAGCATCGCTACTACGATATTCGCGTATATTGACGTCGACGTTGCCTAGATACCGCGCCCGTCCAAGTCGTCGGCTCGCACTGAAGTGCCCGCTGGGAAGTGCCCAGCGGTCAGCACCACCGTGGCCGCGTCGGTCGCACCAAATTATCTGGCCGCTGCGCGCGCGAGTATGCGCGCTAGCGCAGCCGCGGCGATGCGCCAGCCAGCGCCGAGCAGTCATCGCAATCGCCGCCGCACGGGTTTTGCAAACCAAGTTGCGGGTGGGTTGGTGGGATGATTGCGCGAGCAGTGGAGTTTCAATTCGTTGCGAACAGAAGATAATTGCAACACGTGCGTGCGTGCATACACACATGCGCGTATGCATGCAAACATGCATGCACGCATGGCGGCGCACAGGTGCGGCTGGGACGAGGGGGGGTGCCTTCGCCAAAAGACCCAGGGATTTTCAGAAGAGGTCGGAAGCTTCTGCGAAGGTTTCTAAGGAGGCATGGAGCGGAGGATCATAGAAACCCCACCCTGCCAAGTCGATTGGCGAATCGCCTCCTCTCACGCTATCATGATGGCGTCGCGGCCGCGCGTTTGTGGGCCTGCGGCCTGCGCGCGCCAGGTCCGGCCCAAGGCCGACGGGTGTTTTGCTTGAGAGGGTTCTGTCCGCCCACCGAGAGGAGTGGCAGGGCCGCCGTGCGCACGAGCCGCTGGTCGATCGCCCGTCGCTCTCGAGGGTCGGAGGGGTGTCCCGGGCGACGGGGGGCCTCCAGGGCCTCGTGGGTCGGGAGGCCGACTTGTGAGCGTCCCTGCCGCCTCCCCACAGCAGGGAGCCTGCTCAGGGCCTGGGCCTAGAGAACCCAGGGTTCGCTGGGGACGGGTTTCCCCCCAAAGCGAAGAGAACCCTTCCCAAACCCTCCCGACACCCGACACCCTCCGAACAGCATCCGGGAACCCGTCCAGGATGGTTTTCGGATGGCTTCGGGAGAGCTTCAGCTGTTTTGACAGGAAGCCAGCCCCTAGCGCACCCTGGACTCTCCAAGGCCTCCCTCCCTCATTCATTTTTTCCGGGGGCGCGCGTTGTCGGTCTGCCCAGGCCTGGGACGCCCTGACAGCAAAAGACGGGCCACCGGCCACTTCCCGTGCGCCTTCGCCCCGTGTGGTCCTCTGGCCGCCCGCGGGGCCCTGCAGTGCCCCCCCGGAGGCCGAAAGCAGGCTTCAACATCGGGGTTCAGAAGCGGGGGTCGGTGCAGACGGTCGGCGGCGAGCCCGGGGGGAAGTCCCGATGGTTGATGATGATCCCTAGCATCATTAGCAGCATCGTCCTCATTGGCATCATCATCATCAGCATCATCATCATCATCATCATCATCATCATCATCATCATCATCATCATCATCATCGTCATCAGCATCAGCATCATCATGATCCTCATCCTCATTATCCTCATCGTCCTCGTCCAAATCATCGCCCTCCTCATCCTTATCCTCATTCGCATCCTCATCGTCATTCACATCATCATCAGCATCACCATCATCATCACCATCACCATCATCATCCCGGTCGGCAGAAGGCTCGGAAGTCCCCCGGCCTTCCGAGCGGTTTTCTAAGCCTTACCCGAAGATTCAAACAAATTCTCAGAAGGCGCGAGGGCTTCTGAGAAGTCCTGCCGCCTTCTGAGAAGGCCTTCTTTTCATTTCCCCCCTCACTCGCCGCCAAGACGGGGGTCAGTCAGAGCGCCAGATCTCGCAGGACCCTGCAGAGCCAGGTGCGCATTTGACCCGGGCTCGCGTGCAGGATCTCTTGCAGGCTCCTGCAGAGCTTGACAGGCCCAGGTTTGGACTGATCACGACGCGAGGAGGCCAGGGTGTAGTTGGGGGTTTCAGTCCGAGATGTCCCTCTACAGGAGGAATATTCAAACATAGCAAAAGACTAGTCAAGTGACGATTGTTCCTGCTCTTCTTCCCTACTTGTTGACTGCGTTTCATTTGTCTTCCAAGAGCCGCCTGTAGGAGGAAATGTCCGACCTAACAGTAGGCACGTCAGATAAGAAACAGGCCTGCCAGCAGGTGCCCCACGGAAGTTTCTTATCCCCCGGTGGCCCCAGGGGCCCACAGGATCTCTGGGGCATTCCGGGACCTTCACAGAGATTGACGATCAGGGCGCCAGAGACGGGGGCACAGCAAACGGGGGTACCGGCAACGCCGATTTCCACGTTTGGCTATGCCCTCGTTTAGGGGGCCCTGGGCGCCGTAGACGGGGGTACAGTAAACGAGGGTAGATGGAAAAGCCTAAGCTCCCGTGTAGATAAGCCCCCTTTCTACGAAGCCCCGAGACGAAGAGGGTACCCCAGCATCTCCGACAGCAGGGGTCGCTGATCGGGTGGTGCCTCGTGCCGGGGTCCGTGGCAGCGGTTCCGCCTCCCTCCCGCACGGGCCGCAGGCAGGCTCTCCAGAGCCGCCCGCGACGACGACGACGACGACGACGACGGCGGCGACGACGACGACGACGACGGCGACGACGACAACGACGACGACGACGGCGACGACCACGACGACGACGACGACGACGGCGACGACGACGACGACGACGGCGACGACGACGACAACGGCGTCTTCAGCAGGGCCGCCCTCCCGGGCTCGCCGCCAGAAGACCAGTCGGTTGAAATCGAGCTGTTGACGATGTGGTCCGTGTTTCGGGGGAGCTCGCCGATCTCGGCAAGAGCCGAGGCCCCGCAGGGTCCCCAGAACCCCGCGTTCCCCGCTCTCGCTCCTGCGAACAGCGCCAGCGCCGAAAAGGTATGCCCGTGCGCAGATCCGCATCCCACATCCGCGCAGGCTGGGCCCCTGGGCAGCGACCCACTTGAGATACGGGGCGTTTTTTCGCGGATGCTCCCCGCGGAACGTATCCTTAAGTCGGGCCTGTCCCTCTACAGGGGGGAATATTCAAAGACAGTAATGAAGGAGTCAGGGGACGATTTTTCTACTATTTTTAATTCGTTTTGCATATTTGTTTGATGTTTTTATTTGTTCCTCCAAAATCCGCCTGCAGGGCGACATGCCCGACCTAAACGTATTCATGCTGTGATATGGATCGGCGCGCAGCGCCGGGGATGCTTTTGCTGTGAGCGCGGCTCGAACAACTGGCGTAGCACTAAGGCCA